GAGTGCCAAGAGAGGAGAAGTTGTCGGTCATGTGACTGCACGCAGTTAGGTGGGGTGGCATTAAAAACTTTCTTACCCTCGTCTCGGTTTCCGGATGCCACGTCCCGATCGTGTGTTGTGTTTTTCTATCACTGTTAGCATCGAGTTTATCTCACTAACGTATTTTTTCTATCGCAATTAGTATCAAATTTATCTCAATAACGTGTGTTTTTTCTATCACCGTTAGCATCGAATTTATCTCACTAACGTGTGTTTCTTCTTTCACCGTTAGCATCGAGTTTATCTCACTAACGTGTGTTTTTTCTATCATCGTTAGCATCAAATTTATCTCACTAACGTGTGTTTTTTTTTATCATCGTTAGCATCGAGTTTATCTCACTAACAAATATTTTTTTTATCACTGTTAGCATCGGATTCATCCCACTAACGTGTCCACCAACTTTGGCAGGATTGGGTTTAATCCCACTGACCGTTTTTACCTTGTTGGGATTGGATTTTATTCCACCAACCACAGCGGGCTTGAATTTTATCCTACCGATCATTTTTATTTGCATTGGGCTCGGGTCTTATCCTACCAATCTGTTATTTCCTGACAAATCAAATTTAATTTTCTGTTGATGAGTCTCAGCGTCCGCCGCGCACCTTTCTACCTCCCTTCTTAACAAATTTAATTTCCTGTTGGAGGGTAACCGCGTCCCTCCGCGCATCGTTTTCTAAATCATAACAACCCACTTTTCTTGATTATTTTGATGAATAATTGTGCTTTATCATTCATTTTGTGTTTCATGTTTAGAAGTTCTGAGAGTTCAAATTTTTTCGATTTTGCAAAGATCATAGATGGTCAATGCACTTGTTTCATTGTGGTTCACTTGTATTCGAACTACGTTTGACCTGATTCTCATGGCAGGATACGTAGGCAACTTTACAAGAGTTCGGTCACATGTTTTGCAACATTAATGCATCATTTTTCCCAATAATTTCAGCCAAGTGTTGGCTTGTTTATTTTAACTCAGGTGCAGTTAGAAGAGACAGGTAAGTAATTTGGTATCTACGTCTTTGTCTTGAGTTTCTTTGAAACTTTAGACAAAGAGGGGCAAGCTGTAGACACCAAATTTTTGTCAAATTTTAATATTTTCTTGATTATTTTCTATTTAATGAATTATTTATTTTCTTGCATTTTAATGTGCATTTTTCTTATATTTGCAGGTTTGTTTTAGGAAAAGAAAAATAAAAGTAGAAAAAACAAAACAAAACAAAATTAGTTTTTGTATTAAAAAAAAGGAAGTCATCATAAGCCTTCATGATGACTCATGATGGCCATCACCATTCTTTTGACCAAAGAAAGAAAAGAATAAGCAACAGATCCAAGAGAAGAAAAAAAGAGGAGAAAAAGAAAAAGAAAAAAAAAAGCAGAAGAAAGCAAGAGAAAAACTCTCTCACTCTCTCCCTCTCTCGGCTGGCTCAATGGACATAAGTAGAAGAAAATTTTGCAGATAGGCCCTCACTCTCTCCTTCTCTCGGCTTAGGCTGCCAACAAAGAAAAAAACAGAGAGAAAGAAGGAGAAAAAAATTTCTCTGATCTTTTCGACTCTATCCCTCCATTTTCTCAATTCACACAACACACCCACACACAATTTAAACACAACAAAGCAAGCAACAAAGGATTGAAGCCTGGGAGTCCCTTCAAAATTTTGACCGAGAAACTCTTGCTTGGATTGAGGTATTTTTTTTTCCATTTTTTTGTTAACCATGTTAAAGCCATATTTTATCGTTTAATTTTCTGGCTTTTGTGGTCTTTCATTGTTATTGTTCTATTGTTCAAAATTTGGAAAATGATTTGAATTAGACTAGGGAAAAGGAACTAATTTTTGTAAAAAAAAAAAAACGAATTTTAGGGCCTATTTTGCTTTATTTTAAAATCATAGTTGTATTCTAGAAGTTGCAAGGAGTATGGTAGTATAAATTTTTGTGGTTTTTGATGAAGATTTGAGTGTTTAAAAAAAAACTGGACTGACTTTAGCTCTTTTGGCCACTCTTGGGTCATTTTTTGTAAAAACTAACTTCAAAAATGAAATCTACTTCAAAAATCGAATGGGGGTATGTATTTTGGTAATTTTTGGCGACCGGAGAAATCGCCGGCGACAGGCGTCGGCACCGCCGTGGCTGTCGGAGCTTCAGTTAGCCGGACAAGCAAACCCAGAAACTGCAGAAGAAAGCTTTGGGCAGGATGCATGAATTTTCTGAAAATTTCATTTTTGATCCCCCCCAATTTTTACCTAATTTCACTGTGGCTCAAAAACTTCTGCAAATAATCAATTCTGCCCCTTTAAATTTGAATTTTCTCTGCCATTTTTTAATATGATTTTTTTTTACAGATTATTTATGAATTTTAGGATGAAATTTAAGATTTAATAATTTTGATAGATTTATTATTTTGATTGGGTTTGGTAAAATAGTTGGAGGTTTTGGTTGAGGTTTGTTAGGTGGATTTTGTTTGGGTTTTAGAAATGGGTTTTAGTTTATTTTATTGGGATTTTTGGCTTGGATTAGGAGGCTAGAGCCCATGCATTTGTGATTGGGTTGATTTTTTGGATAAAACTACGGTTTTTCCTTGGACTTTTGTCTGGACCTGATGGTCTTTGGCCCAAATAATTAATAAGAGTGGCCCAATGGCCCATTTGGCTAAGAATCGGGTTACGAAATTATATTTCAGTCCCTTGATTTTTGAATAATGATATTGTGGTCCTAAATACTTTAGGTTTCTTTCAATTAGTTTCCTAATTTAATTATAAATAGGTCTCTAAACTTTATTTTTCTTTAATTTTGACCCCAAATCTTTGTGATAATTTAATTTGATCCCTAAAACTTTGTTAATTTTTGCAATTAGGTCCCTAACAGATTTGATTTCTTAAATAGAAGTTGATTTTCCTTTTTTATTATGAATTATATTCCATTTGAATATTTCAGTTGATTGATTTCATGTTTATTTCCATTTTTAATGATTTATTTGTTGATTAAATGGGTGCCTTGATGATTTTTGTTAATTTTGGAGTTAAATAGGGCAAATCCAAACTCAATTAGCTACTACTTCAATGGGAGGTATTTTCTTTCATAATTTAAAATCTTTTCTGTGATCCTACGTGTTTTATGTGTAATTGCATGGCTTAAGTGTTTATTTATTTATTTACTTGTTATATTTTAAGTTTTACAATTCATTTTTTGATGATTATTTAAAAGGCAATTGAATGGCAAATTGTAATAGTTAGGTCTCTATCTGCTCTTATTTGCTTTGTGTGTTTGCATACTTGTATATTTACGCGTTTACTCGTTTTCTTAGGGTCTTTGTATTTAGATATCATGTGTTACGTGCTACGTGCTTTTATGTATTTATTTATTTTAATTTTTGCCTTATTTATCTTATTATGTGTTAAGAAGGCATGACGTCACCACACTAGTCCAATGCTAGTTGTGGTTTCTCCCTCCATTTACTTGCTAGTCCAATGCTAGTAAAGATTTTTTTTTCAGAAATGGGCCAATCCAACGCTAGACCCGTAGATCATTCATGCATTAGGTTCGTCTTTTGTATGATATCCATTACATTTTCATGTATATTTTTATTTTTAGGATTGTTCTCATTTGCATGATATTTCCTATTATATTATCCACTACCCTCTATATGTGTTAATCATATCAATTAGAATTGTATCTCATTTAAGCTAATTTATTTGCTTCCTCATGTTAGGAGAATTATTCTTTGAACATGGGAAATGGGTGATTATAACTTTTTAGTTTAAATACCCATTAATTCCTGTATAAGAAAATTATGTCACGAGTTTTTGTTTCTTGTATCTATTATGTTGCTTTTCTATTCTTTATGCACTTATATCTAGATATATAATTTAAGTTTCTTTTCTTTTCTTTGAATTTCCTTAATGCATGCTTGTGACCCCTTCAAGGAATTATTTGGTCTTCGCAATCAATGCGATTGGTATCAATTAAACCCTTGAATGGATATTTTGTCTCTTTCGATATTTTATAAATTTAGATTTGCATCCATGTAGGAAACATCCAAATGTGATAGAATTAAAGGCTAGATTAGGAAAATTTTGACTAAACCTCGCAACTAACTTAGACTAGGTTGAAAGGGTGTCTTAGGTTTGAGTTAATCGAATCTTTGTCTTCCTTTTTTTCGACCGTGACTCCCGAACCCATTTTTTCTTGTGTTTTCAAAGACCTGTAGTTGTCGAAAAAGGTTTTATTTTATTTTATTTTTGTCAAAAAATATTTTTTGGGGTAACTTGGTACACCCAAATTCAATACCAAGTGGCGACATATTTTCTTTAAAACCCTTTTGACTAAATTTTTGGACCCAAACTATCGCATTTTGTAAAATGTCCCATTTTAGGTCCCTTTCACATATTCTTTTCACTTATTTTAAATAAAACCACATCTTTTGTAAAAATATGTTTTTCCACCGTGAAAAATGGGGCGCGACACTACCATTAGTAAATAATACGGATATTCAGAACTAACCAACAGTCGCCTAGTAATTTGGACAAATTGCCCCCTGACTACAACACCAAGAGCTACAGGCATAACTTCTCCTCTCCGAAATTCTTCACTTTCCATGATTTTGGCATCGCCCTCCAACTTTTACAGAATGAAAGGTGAGTGATTAGGGGTGCAAATAAGCCCAATCAAATCGAACATTGAACTTATCGAGTCAGGTTCGACTACTGTATACATGAGCTCGAGCTCGACTTGACTAAGTAAGAAACTGGCTCGAGTTCGACTTGATAAGGCTCCATCTACTCAACTCGACAAAAGCTCAAAATGGCTCGAATTCAGCTCGAAAATTTCTGTCACTAAACATAACCAGCATTATTTAACCTGACTCCAATAGCACATTTTAAGCTATTAGTTCACTTGCAAAGGTAATGAAAATATTCCGCCGGTAAGCAGCAGCCGCTGCAGTGCTAGAGCATAGATTTGATTTAACATTTTTTCTCTTGAAAACCTAACAAAGTGGTAGAGAGAAACTAGTACTGTGTCTTCTACTGCTACTACTTGATGCGGGTGACCACTTAATCACAAAAATAACCCACCACAAAATAACATTCGCATTTAGTACCGCATGTGGTTCACCAGATCAAAGCCTTTAAAAACCTTAAGCCAACCCCCAAATAAAACAAAAAGTAAAATAGAAAACAGAGACAGTGAAATCAAAGAACCCAAAAGCAGAAGAGGGATTTCAAATGCGGATAAACACTTTTTGAAAATAAAACCCTCCAGGTTGAGGTTGAACCCAGCTCAACGATTACTGTTTGGGCATTCTCGGGCAAAATGTCCATCTTCCCCGCATTTGAAGCAACCGCTTCCCCCACCGCCATTCCTACCCCCACCGCCGCCACCCTGGTAGCAGTCCCTAGCAAGATGCCCAGACTCACCACACTTGAAACACCCACCTCCTCCGTAACCTCCACCACCGCCGTACCCGCCTCCACCGCCGCCGTATCCCCCTCCACCACGGCTCCTGCCACCACCGCCAATGGAGCTAATGAAATGCCTACCGTAGCTGCTTCTAAAGTTGGCCAACAAACTGGGAGTCGGAGAGAAAGGGCTCTTCAATTGAAGGGCGGCAGTGGTGGTGGCAAAAGTGGCTTGAAGACAGCGGTAGCGGCGGTTAGGGTTTGCTTTTGATTTGGGGAAAGAAGAATGCGGATAGTGGAACAGCCGAGTGGGAAGACGAAGGAGATGTGTTTGTGACTTTGTGTCCACCGTCCTCCACTGTCTTGGTCCTTGGAGAAATTGTTATCTAGTTTCTAATTTAGTAATTAGTTATATATGTAGGGGTATTTATGTAATTTTATACCGCTCGCGAGCCTCTCGAGCTTTCATACAGATGGCTCAAACTCGACTCGTGTTATAGATGAGTCGCCCGAGCTCGTCGAATGTTGACCGAGCTCACGAGCAGCTCGATTCGTTTGCACCCGTACGAGTGACAAAGCAATTCTTGCTTAAATTCTTGACCGGAAACCTGCTTCTGCAACCCTTTGTTCATCTCGTCATCATCAGGGCCGAGTGATTGAGAAGGTATTTTCTGGATGATGACGTTTTTGGTTCTTGAGCGATACTTCTTTATTGACACTCGTCTCGTCATGATCTCCTTAATTAATAGGTGCTTTGGAAGATATGATCACGAACCATAATCTGACAAATTTGCTTAGAATTGAGGTGAATAAATTGAAAGTTTTTTTATCCTTTCCTTTTTCTGATGAAGACGAATTTGGAAAGAATTCTTGCAATGCTATCTTTCCTAATGATTGGCCAATTTTGTTGTACTTCAAAATTACTGACTGGCTTTGGATAAGTGTAAATCTCCAGTACCTAATCGTCATTCATTTATAATTTGATTATTACCATACATCGGTTAAATAAGAATCGCATGAGAAGTGAGTTCCACAATCTTATTTGTAGCATTTTTATTAGTCAAGATAAAATTTTTAGATTGATTGCTATATTTCGCTTATTTACAAATCAGGGCTCAATGTTGTCATTTATAGCATCTAAATAAAATTTTGGAGGGGGGGAGGGGGGGAGGGGGAGGATTTGAGAGCATATGGATTATATTATGTACTTCAGTTTTACTGGGTGGCTTTAGATAAGCAATAGATCTTCACTAATCAATCTTTCTATATTGATTGATTATCGAATGTCTATACTTGTAGTTTGTGTACATGCACACTTATTTACAATTCCTTCTTCAAATTAATTAAACTCTCTCATCTATTCAAGAATTATGCAATAGCTACTCATTAAAAAGTTATTAGATCTATTTCAAACTAACTAACATAGATGTCACTTTATAAGAAAAAGTTTGTAATCCGACAAATATGGTAGCATTAACCATTAAGGCTTCCATTGTTCGACTAACAAAATCCACATGACTAAAATTGAGAATTTTCTATAATTGATTAAATAGCACAAAATCCAAATTGTCTGACTATCTGGTGTAAAATGTGCACCCCCATTCATCAAATTTCTTCTTTCCTTAGGATTAATTTGGTTCATGGGATGACACGAGATTGAATTATTAATCCTATGATATCCCATGTTTGATTGCATTTTATATATGAGATGATACATTTCACCTACCTTGGGCGAAAAGTGATACGAGTTATCTCAAGATGAACAAGAGGTAAGATGATAATGATTTGGAGTTATATGCCCCCACTAATAGAATAATACTTTATTCAAATCCCCTCTTTCCCTTCTACGTTTCTTAAATTCAATCATTCCCCTTCTACACCAAAAAAAAAAAAAGAAAAAAAAGGAAGACTCCAAACTATAGTGGAGGGAAAGAAAGATGCGGGCTTGAGAGTTGAACCTCAAGGCCACAAATAGATGTTACATTTTGATCTTGTTGGATTCCTTATCTATTTTTGGTTTTCTGGACAACAATATGCCTTCTAAAGGTGTTGTGGTTAGAAAAGTCTCAAGTAGAATGATTATTATTGGCTAGATAGTCATTGTAATTTTGTACATAAACTCAATCACAACTAAGGGGAGAGGAGTAGGGTGGCCTTGAGATTCCAATCCCAGACTAATCTAGTGAATGTTTTTACCCAGTTGAAGTAGATCTTTGAGACACTAATACGCTTTCTAAAGATGTTAGAGCTTGGTAATCTAAAGGAAATTCATAAATATTGCTAGATAGTCATTATAATTTTTCCATATAAACTTAACCACAACTAATTAATCCAATAGATGTATACATGTTGGTTTTATTCCCATATTTATTCAAACATGCTAATCATCTAGGCCATCCAAATTTTGCTTACGCAAAACCTGGCAAATTACTTTAATCCAATTCAAATGACTTAGATAATCTTGTTTAAATAACGTTTAGTTATTTGGATGTAGACAAACAGACGAGTAAATGAAGAAAAATCCAAATCAAGAACTATTTAATTTTAACTTTGATCTGTTCACAACATTGTTTAAATGTCATGATGGCTTGTCATACTACATCATTGAGGTGGTTTTTGATCTTGAATATAGCAAGGCAAATTTTTTCCCTTGAATAAAGAATAATGTATATATACTGCATAGATTTTTCATATTTTGGCCTATAAAATTTGTTACTGCAGATTTTTAGTGATTTTTTTTTAAATTAACTTCTCAGATGCTTATAAGACAGTGAAGCTAATTTAGTATTAAGCAATCATACCTTTTTACATCCACAATATATGTATCAAACAAATTGAATCAAATCCGCAGGGCTTATGAAAGAAACTGCCAGTCTTGAGGCTAAATTTGTACAAACAAATTGATTAAAAAATTTTCCAAAAAAAAATAAAAATTCAAACACCAAAACACGCAGATCACACACTGGAACAGGGGCTTTGATTAGACTCGTCTTCTTGTTGACGCAGCATGAATGGCAGCAATGTACAAGAGTTGGGTGGCTGAGAGAATGATCAAGAATGCTTCCATAGTTCTCTGAGAAAGAAAGAAATTTATTTTCGACATGAATTTCGTTCCATTTTACCAAAAGAAATATAATGTGGAATACTAACCAGACGGGCAATCCTGATGCGTAGTTCAATCTCTTTACAAGCAAGGCTGGAAAAATCGATGCATTGATTTGCATGTTGTCAGTGAATGGTCCAAAAACGTGGAATTCTATGATATTTCTATTTTTCAATCAACTATACATCCTAATGAAGAGATGCTTTTATTTGTAAAAAAAAAAAAAAAGAAAATTGAAAGAAATGAATATTGTGGTTAAAGAAATTACCCCATGGCCAGAAGAGTTAGACTCCAGGCAATTGTGGCAGCAGAAGCAGCAGCGGGCAAGCTATCAATGTCCCAGAAACGAAGATGGTTTGCTCCAGTTATGACAGATGCTACTCCTACAACGCCAGCAATCAAGGAAAACAGCACAAGAAATCCAGTGGCTGCATTTCCCATGGGGAAGTATATAGGTGAAAAGTGTGCTGGTAAGTCAAATCCGGCACCTGCAAAAACAATCCTCCATAGAATTCATTACCATATATCCAAAAAGAATTTTACCAAAAAAAAAAAATTTCCATAAATTTTTGTTTTTAGTATCACTATAATTAAGGTAAATTTGGATGTATACTAACCAATGATGAAACCATGATCAATGGCTCTATTCAAAGACCAGCCACCAATGCCCAAGATTATGACATACATGCAGAAATTAAGAGCTAGTAGGAGTCCGGCGACAGGTCTCATTGCCGCAACAGCCATTTTTTGTTAGTGAAGGTTAATATATATATATATATATATATGTATGTATGTTTGTATATGTATATGTATATGAGAGGGTTTTTGGAAAATTGGCTATCTGAGCTAGTCTGGTGCTGCTGGGAGCAGAAAATTGTAGTATTTTTCTACAAGGTTCTTTACACCTACATGTGTCTCTTGCAAATTCTTGGGGTCTTATATGTAAGTGGTTAATGTCTTAGAAGAACTTGGTTCCTTTCTTCTAAGGCTGAATTGCAAAAAGGGCTTTCGTGGGGTTGTAAAGGAAATGCTTCATGCTCAAGGAAAGGAACCTAAGTTCCGATCCCTTGTTTGATCAGGGACTTTTAGTTTGGCCTTATGAATTCTGTCTGCGAGGAACACTTTATTCTCTCCATCCCCCTTTTGCAATCTTTAAAATGAATATATTAGGTGGCTCTCAAAAATTTTAAAATGCAGAAGTTTAAGTTTGTCAGGATTGAAAATTAACACCAGGGATTCGGTATATTTTGTACTATCCCCGAAAGGAGAAAAGAAATGCTAGTAAACAAAGAATATTCCTACTGCTTAACCTTTGAAATTGGATAATTGATACTTTCCATGTGTCTTCAAACTGTCAAAAGCAAGAACTCAAGCACTTAAAGAACAGATTTAATGAGCAATCATTGAGTGTGTGTGCCTATATGCATATGTATATATATATATATATATATATATATATATATATATATATATAACTTGTATATATGCCTGAAGAAAATTAACTGTTTTGAACCTGTAATAAGCAATCACTTGTAATCATTTTTTTCCATTGTCCACCAAAAGATTTGAATACATGTGTAGCACAATATTCAGATTGAAGAGAAAAAATGATACCCCGTCGATGTAAATCTAAGGACAAATCTCATAATTCTTGAATCAGAGTCTAATGATTTTGGGGATTACATAGTTGTGAAACAAATAGGTTGGTGTTAAGCATCTCTTTGCAATTGACAAAAACAAATTATAAATTAAGTTATATGGTCATGAATCATATTAACCAAATTACACGTTGTGGTATGCTAAGTCATGCATGAATTAAGAATAAGAAAATTCTAAGTTACTGACATTTGTGGTCGAAGTGTATAATATCAATTTGATTTTGGGGAATAAACTATTACTGCATGCCCCTAAAGTTTGGGGATGATGTGTCCTTGAATATAAGGGGCAAAATTTGCATTTTATCATACACAGTTTTGAACACGGTTTAAAAGAAAACCCAAAAAACATTGAAATTCAAGAGGGAAAGTATACATTTTATTTTGGTTAAGGGGAAAAAGTATTATTACCCCAAAGTTTGGTGCTAAAAGGTTTTTTAGTTATTACCCCAAAGTTTAGATGCATCTCTTTCGAACATTATTCTTGATGTGCATTGTAGTACCTACATCCCACTAACCCCATTCTTTAGCAATTAAATTTGTGAGATTTTGAAATTTGGGGTTCCATCAAAATAGGCAAACTTTTGGGTAGACCCGATCTATATTGATTTTGTAATCTAAATTTTGCCACACTATCTCGCCAACTCAAGAATTGATGGTATGATAAAATTTGGGTTACATGGTCTATAAGATCAGATCTACCTAAGTTTTTGCCATCAAAATAAGTTAAGAGGTTGAGAGACTAATTGATAATAGTGAAAATATATGTTGGTTAAGTTGAAAAAAAAAATTTAAAAGAAGATGCACTTTATTGTTTCCCTCTCTCTCTCTAGGATTATCTTGCAATCCTCTTCTTCCTCGAGGTGAAAATCAAGAAATTCAATAATGTAAAATAGGCAGGGGAAAAAAGAAGCATAGGAAAAATTAAAGGATTAAATATGTAAAATGCAATTTGTAGTCCCCCGAAGACACAAGTCATAGCGGGCCTGGTTGCTGTTTTTTTACCATAATAATCTAATGTTAACTATCTAACGGCTAAGCCAATGAATCGTTATGCTGTTTCTGCGCGCCTTATTTCAAAAGTTAAACTATATGTCAAGATCATCAACCATCCAAAGAAATTTTGTCCCAATTCTTCTCATAAAGCCCTTCAAATCTTTGTTGCGCTTTGTAAAATACTCTACATTAAGTGCTCCCAGTTGTAATTCAGTCCTGAATTATCACATAAAAAACGGAAAACTCGATGAAGCAAGAGCAATTTTTGACAAAATTATAACACCGGATGTGTACTTATGCACTAGGATGTTATCTGGGTATTTGGAAAATCGTAGATTCGATGAAGCATTGGAACTGTTTGATGAAATCCCTGTGAAAGACATAGTAACATGGAATTTAATGATGAAGGGGTGTTTCGATTGTGGGGAAGTTGAGATGGGTTTGACACTGTTTGATGCAATGCCTGAGAGGAATGTGATTTCCTGGACTACTTCGATGAGCGGATTGTTAAAAGTTGGACTAGTTGAAGAGGCTGAGAGGTTGTTTTTGGGGATGCCTGTGAGGGATGTAGCAGCATGGAATGCAATAATCTATGGGTATTTTGCAAATGGAAGAGTGGACGATGCGATGAAGTTATTCAACATGATGCCTTCTAGGAATGTCATATCATGGACCTCGATGATTAGTGGGCTTGATCAGCATGGGAGGACTGATGAGGCTCTGTTGATGTTTGCAAAGATGGTGGGGTTTGGGATTGTGCCCTCTTCCAGTACTTTTTCCAGCGTAATTACAGCTTGTGCAAATATGTTAGACTTATATCTAGGTGTTCAAGTGCATGGGTACATATTGAAGTTGGGATGCCTTTTTGATGCATATGTCAGTGCTTCTCTTGTCACTTTTTATGCTAATTGCAAGAAAATGGATGATTCTCTTAAAGTATTTAATGAGAAGCTGCACATGAATGTAGCTGTATGGACATCCCTTTTGACGGGATATGGTATGAACAGCATGTATGAAGAGGCATTGAATGTTGTGGTGTCCATGTACAGAAATGGGGTTCTTCCAAATCAATCTTCTTTTACAAGTGCTTTAAATTGTTGTTCTGAAATGGAAGATGTTGATCAGGGTAAAGAAATGCATGGTGCAGCAGTCAAGCTTGGATTGAACACTGATGCTTTTGTGGGTAATTCTCTAGCTGTATTGTATTCTAAGTGTGGAAATTTAAAGGACGGGATAGTCATATTCAAGGAGATTTCAGACAAAAACATAGTATCATGGAATACCATTATTGTTGGATGCGCACAACACGGATGTGGTAAGTGGGCACTCACCTTTTTTGGCCAAATGGTACGTGCACGAGTGTGCCCTGATGATATTACATTCACAGGTTTGCTCTCAGCTTGTAGCCATAGTGGTATGCTTCAGAAAGGAAGATATTTCTTTGATTATCTACGGCAACACAAAACCATGGAGGTGAAGCTTGAGCACTATGCTTGTATGTTGGATGTACTCTGCCGATGTGGAGAATTGGAAGAAGCAGAGAATTTGATAAGAAACATGCCCATGAGACCAAATTTGTCAATGTGGCTTTCTCTCCTAAATGGTTGCAGGAAAGATTGTAATTTAGATTTAGCTGAAAGAGTCGCAAAAGATGTTTTCTCTTTAGATCCAGATTGTAGCTCTGCTTATGTATTGTTGTCCAACATGTATGCTTATGCTGGTAGATGGGAGGATGTTGCAAGAACTAGGGTGCAAATGAAAAAAAGGAGAACGATTAAACAGCCTGGATGCAGTTGGGTGACTCAAAAAGGTGTGCGACACATATTTGTGTCTGGTGATAAGTCACATCCTCTGAGCAGCAAAATTTATCAAAAGTTAGAGTGGTTAGGGGAAAAGTTGAAGGAGTATGGGTATGTCCCTGATCGAAGGTTGGCTTTACATGATGTGGAGGATGAACAAAAAGAATCAATCTTGTCATATCATAGTGAGAGGCTTGCTATTTGCTTTGCACTCATTGACAGTGAGGAGAGAAGTGCTATAACAGTAATGAAGAATCTACGTGTGTGTGAGGATTGCCACTCTGCCATCAAGGTAATAGCAATAATTGCTAATCGTGAAATCATTCTTCGAGATTCTACTCGCTTTCATCATTTCAGGGATGGGTTATGTTCCTGCAGGGACTGCTGGTAGTATGATCAAGACAAGATTAAGCTCCTCTCCATACAAAATCACCTCCAGTTCTCCTAAGTATAGGCTTTCATTGTTGTTGACATGTGTACTTAGCCAATATCAATAGCTTATGTGATTTTGGTTGGCCCTGATAGTTAACTTTGGTTGGGTAGCTGTGGTTAAGGTTGCTTAGTAAAGTCTCCATCTCTCCACGATTATCATATCTCTGAAAAGCATATCAAAATCCAATTAGCTGAAGATCAATAGCATCCTTTGACATTTCCATCCTATTTTGATACATAATTGATTGGAAAATGTGGAGGAAGACAGATTGGCTTTTGGCCCTAAACTTCCACGTCTGACTAAAAAGCCAAGGTCGCACAGGATAAGAAGAAGAAGACAAAGAAGGAGAAAAATATGTCTCAATTGATTTCACCAATATAACAGGTATATCTCTTATTTGTAGAAAGTTTATTTGTTGTGGGCTTGTAATTCAAATGAAGAAGAAAATAAGATAGAAGAATTTGAGGATAGCAATTCTGCCACAATGTTTTAGTTTGCCAAGAAGTCATTGATTATTTGTTTGAATGAAAAAATAAAGCATCATAGAGCTCATGTTTGAACTTGATAGCTAGTAATTGCATTAAATTTCATTGTTGGTATAAGATGTTAATCAAATGATTGATCCATTATTCAGTTTTAATCTAGTGTGTGTGTAAAGCAAAGCGGAGGGAAACCATAAAGAAGATAGAGAGATAGGTTCATCTTCTTCGATTTACTGTATATACTGCCATTGTCAGGAGTTCTCTTTCTGAAATTGATAGCTGTTTTTTCCCTGGAAAGTAGACTACCATAGATTGATGGTCTCTTTATTTTGATAAGGCATTGCATTTGGAGATTTGAGTTGTTACAATTTTCTTCTATAACTGTTGGAGAATCATAGTATGATTACCACTGATTCATTACGTTTCCCTTCTTTATATTGCCTCTCAAATAGCTTTTGACTTGTTACTGTTACTGAACTTCCAAGATGGAATTTCCTTCTTAAATTGATCACTAATCTTGGTCAATATTTCTTGGATAGTGAGCTTTTGGGTAATTTATTTTGGTTTGACATCTACAAAGGGAATATCTTCTCTGGCAAAAAATTTTCACTATATGGTTAGTTGACTGATGATTTGAAGACACTCAAGGAGATAGTTTAAAGAGATTAGAAAGAGTAACATAGCTTTAAAGGATCTGATACGTAGATTTCCATTTTCTTGCCTTCTTCTCTTGGCTTTTAAGTTGATCATCTGTACTTTTGATGCATTTTCAAATGAAAAGAACAACATTATGGCCTCGATGATGATATTATATGCAATCGTATTAAATTAAGCTGGATATAAAGAGAAATAGACTAGAAGAATTTAGAGAAGAAGCATAAGGTATAAGATACCAGAAGAATTGTCAGAATACCTATAGTGCTCTTCTATTTACTTGTATATCTTGTAACTATTAATTTCTTTAGGTTTATGGAAAGTTCCCCGAAGGAAATGGGGAACAATTACATTGGCATCTGACAGGCTAGCTCATCTTTTCCAACTGAAATCTGGGAGTGGACTTTGACTCGATTCAAAGATGCACATACTTGCTATGAAGCTATGCTGCAGCTGTTAATTTTAGTATTCGAAAATAATACGAATCAGGAAAGTACATGATAGTCCCCGTTCGGATTGCTATTTTCAGGAGTTTTTGCAGGAAAAAAGTACTGTAGCGATTTGATGTATGTGAAATAAAAAGGTAATTAGGAAATGTGTTAATGGAAAACGTAAAAATTTTTCTGTGAAAAATCACAATCCAAACAAATGTAAATGCGTTGTTGGAAAGAAGGCTACAAGTAAAGATTGAGGGATTTTCTGGTGAAGAAACCAAGCAAGGAAACTTGAACGGATCTCCAGTCATGTAATCATCCAGCTGTTCCAGCATGGCAGAGATCAGGTTACTTCTTTCGAAGCTAAGCATAACCACCATCTTGTTTCATCATAAATGTCTTGCTTATTGCCATCAAACCTAAACAACGCGCTCGATCTGTTGAACTGGACTTAGCCAATTAATGATGCAAGAGTACAACCCAAAGAAGCTCATCTCTCTGCACAAGCTTGGGGTGAGAATTTGTGGGATTTACTAGAAGAAACATTAATGTATATTCAGTAACAGTGACAAAAATGACTTGAAACATGGGAAGTCTTTTAGCTTGTCAGTGTATTTTTCGAACTCATTGACTAAAAGATCCTTGATCATTTTAGTCATATCCCTTGACCCTTTTGACAGAACTATGGATTGAAGAAAGCCTTGAGATTCCTGGCATTATTCCTTGGCATGAACAATTATAGGGTAGTGATGTATTTTTGTGAGGGTGCTAATTTCTTTGCATGGGTTTTTTAGACATTTTCCGCAGCGATATGTGAGAAGCTTAAGACGTTCATTTTAGATGAAGATAATGGAATAATCATTGTTGTTCAGTTGGTAAAGGTTGAGTCATATGATCATTTGTGCGTTTGACACTTGGTAAAAAAATGCCAAGAAGAAGAAAACATCTTCATCATCCTTATATAAACTGATGACTAATTTTCAGGTGATGTTAATTTACAAGGATGAGACTGGGGCTTGAAAAGAATATTGGTTGAAAGAAAATTTTGCACTCAGACAAAAATGGTTTCTTGTGCGTGGACAACATACGTCTTAAGTAGGTCTGAGCAGCAGTCAGTTAAGTGAGATTTTGAATGGTTCATCGAGGGATTATTTGCAGTTTGATTGGGATTTCATACGATTCTTTAGGTTTACTGTGAATTACAAGCGTAGATAGCCCTAAATTGGAAAATAAAAAAGGAAAACAATGCACTGCAGAGAAAAGAATTTATGTGTTTCTTATGAATTTTCTCAACCATTCTCATTGGAAAACAATCCCTTTTTTGCAATTATTACTAACTTGTAATTAAAAAAATGTACACAAAAACAAAGCAAAAATAGTAAAGAAGACTAAAATCACATGAAAATCTATAAACCAAAAAATAGTCCTGAAGTCAGCCCAGTAATCAGGAGATGATTCTTAGTGTCTTTCCCCCTATCCGGTTAAAATCAGCAGCATAAAGGCAAACACAGAAATAAGAACCATAAAAAATGAAAGGTTAAGAATTTTGATAAGAATCAGCACAAGCTGCATAAAATCAGCAGAAGAAAATTTCACTACATTTAGTTCAGCTCAGAAACTCTCTTGCATCACAGCACCTCAAAAATAAAAAAGAAAAGAAAAAAATGCAAAGACAAAAGCCAAAATGAAATAGAAATTCGTGTCCTAAACCGTTTGAGGGAGAAAATTCCCTGAAATATATAGAGGATTGACCAAGATAAATATTGAAGGAAAGAAGAGGGTTTTTAGTATTGAATGGATGTTCTTTATTAAGTGAAATATCAGAATATTGAATTGATGTTCTTTATTAAGGTAAATGTTTACATTAATAAATAGGTGATTAATAAAAATAGTTGATCAGATGATAATAGTAACACGTTATTAACAAATAATAGGAGTATCAGCTAATACTGAAAAATTCACAATCGTGTAATCCATATCTAAGTAGTTCAGATGCATCTAGTACAACATTGTAGTATGATTGTACATAAAAAATTTAAAGATTCATAATAACTAGATCACATCGCACGCACACAATACAACTATACCAGCAACCCAGCAAGTCGATCGAAACATGTTCTTAAAGAAACCAACTCGTCTTATTAGCCAACCAGCAACACATAAGGTGCAGTCCTAACCCTTTACAACTTGCACATTTAGTACAATCCTCGGTGTTGCTTGATAGTCTCCGTGGAGTGTGTTTCTGATCGAGCTTTTCAGACTCTATGGTTCTGCACTAATTTAAGGTGCTTTTTTTTTTCACTTAGGAGTATCCTTTTGATCATACTAATTCCCTAAAGTTTTGTAGAGTCTTGCTCTAAAGGTACACAACGAAATAAGGTTTTGTAAAACCTTACCCCAAAGATACACATTGGGGGATAACACACGGAATTGCCTACGTAATTATCAAACCACGGAACCAATCGACTACCCATTTAAGGTGCTTGTTCACTTTGCACATTTAGCTCAATCCAGAATGTGTGTGATAGCCTCCAATAGTGTAATTCTGGCCTTCTGGCTGAACGGGCTCCGTGGCTCTGCACTAAATTCGGACTCTGTGGTTCTGCACCAAATTCAAGTGCTTGTACGCTAGTTCTCAAACGATTATATGGTTCAGCACCATTCATACGCTTCATGTGCTTGTTTTATGTTAGCTTTCTAATGATTACACGGTTCTGCAGCAACTCCACATGCATGTTCCATATGTTAGTTTCCGAATGGTCACATGACTAATTCCAGTCATAAACCATCTTATTTCATATTGCGTATGAAATAAATCTCTGTTATTATGTTATCATAAATCTTTGTTATCATGCACCTACCTGATGAGATACTTTCTATATTTGCAGAAAATGTCAATTTTGCAAACATGTAGTGATCAAACCTTGTAATATACAAATCTATTACAAATAGTTACCACTTATTCCTCTTACCTACACAGTATTACGAGTAGTACCGAATTCCGTGTTACAGTTAGTTGATATGGTTTGGAAAACATTTCCGGTGACGCATCAAAAAAGAAAAACATCGAAAAAAAATCTGCTTATTTCACTTTTTCCAGCAACGCTAGGTTTCCATTGCGCGTACAGGAACAAGTCCTTGCCATCATCATTCTCGTGTTGCTGAAACACAAACGTCAACATATAACCAGTAACAAAATCTGAAAGTAACTAGGCCCCAGCCACATCCTGCGACTAAAACTTACCAAACGGACTTCAGGAAAAATCCCAAGGATATCAACTTAAGAAGACAAAATCACTTAACTACATAAAAATAAATGCACTAACCATATTGTATATCTGTATGCATGAGACATTATAGAACGCTCTAAACCATCTCATCTGTCAAAATTACAATGTTACTAACAAGGGATAGCGTAAACAAAAAGGCATGATAATTAAAATGAACCAAGTTCAGCGCATGAAAGCCAAAAAGCTCATTCATCCTCCTGGCTCCGCAGCCTAGCAAGCTTGTTAGTAACAACAACATCTAGCTGAGCTGCACGCTCCACTATCTCTTTCCTCTTCTTTGTGGACACGTTGTGTGCAATCTCAGCACAGTAAGTCCTGGGTAACAGGAACAATAGATGTTCAGAAGACAAACCATCAAGATGAACCAAACTCCATACAAAATATAAGTCCAAATTTCCAAGTATAGAAAAATAAGAGACAGTTTGACTTAGGTTGAATGCATTATTACCTGTTGTGCATCATCAATAACTCAAGCTCACTGACATTGTGCACGACAAACTTCTTAAAACCATTGGGAAGATAATGGCGAGTCTTCTTATCAGATCCATACCCAATATTGGGCATCAAAGTGCATCCCTTGAACTTTCTCCTGACCCGAGAGTCAATACCCTTAGGCCTGCGCCAATTGGTCTGTCATATAACAATAGTTCATGATCAGCAAGCAGTGCTCTAGAGTGAAACATTCCAAAAACATGTAAAACTGCAGTATGTGTTTTATTTTTGGAAATTGAGGGGCAAGAGATGACGTGCATTAGTTTAAGAGACAACAATTCTGCTTCTATCTTCCACCCAAATCCCAAAGGTTACAGTCAACACAATGGCGTCTACTTAAAGGTTAAAACAGGATTTTCGATATGCAGGTTCATACCACATTAAAAAAGAAGCCATAATAATTTCTCCCAGTTACTAATTCAACAAAATAAACATCTTGAATATAATAACTAGCATCACTAAAACGCATCATGATATGTGAAGATGTAAGCAGGGATATAGTAACAGAAAGCTTATCATGTTTGAAGCTAACTGTGTCGCAAGACCTGTTTTCTAGATTAATTTCTGCCCTCAAAACGAAACATCCAGCAACCAATAAAAGTCTGGACATTAGATACCACGGGCAACCATCCCAATTTGGGAATGCAACAGTTGATACAAGTACACATAGAATTCAAAAAATGAAAATAAAAAAATAACCTTAAACGCAATCTCAGCCGAAAGATGGTGAAAATGTTTGTGATAATCACTGTTAAATCAGTAATACTAATGACCTTCATCATAGATTGCGTAGAATCACATAATAAAAAAAATACGGATAATAGAATGGATATTTGGACTTTTTGACAGAAAAAGCATGCCCTAATTCTTTTGCTGGCCAGTATCACATTAGCTAGCTGGTTACCATCCAAAAGTCATCATTAGAATAACTAAACCTCCCCAAAACGCACCAAAAAAAGGTTACTCATGAAATGACATCACAAAATGAGATATACAACAGAGATCAGATGGTAGTGCATGTATGATAATTCATCATTCAGAATGCAGAATAGGTGGATAAGCATCATCACACCTCGTTGCATATCTCCATCAAGCAAATTTCATTGCAATATGAGAACCCTATTAAAAATAACCCAAAGACCAAATTTGACAATTTAAAAAAAATGTAAATAATTATACAGAAAAGGAATCAGATATAGAATATGTCAATCACCAATTTGCATCTCAAGATGCAAGTAAGACTGGGGCGACAATATACATCATCATATTCCTCAATACCTCCAAATAATTAAAACTACTACCAATCACAACAGAAAAATAATATACCCTCTTACTAATTACAACAAAAAACAAACTAAAAACACAAAACAAAATCTGAACCTAATATCGAAGATTCCAACTTAGTTCCTCTACATTTCTTATCATTTTCTTTAAAGCTTCCACAATCATTTTCCCATTTCGCAAACAAAACACTAAAATAAACATCAATCTGCAAATGCCTTAAATAGTGTGTTCCCTAAATTGTAAAAAAAAATAAATTAAAAAGCACAATTTTTTCAAGTGAATCACGGTGATATACCTTGACGGAGATTTTTCGGTCGCTCTGGGGTCGCTTGAACTTCTTGACCCTCTTCTTCACTATCTTCTTCGAAATCAAAGGTACCGCCATCGCTGCTGATTCTTCTTACCTTTTCCCTCCTTAACCTGCACATTCCACACACAAATCACAATCACCAATCTATCTATAAGCGTCTGTAAAGAACAGCGCGGCGCGGGGAAGAATAAGAAAAAAGCGGCAGCCGCCGCCGAAGATTGTGGGCTTACTGTGGATTAGGGTTCTGCAGAGCCGCCCAGGTTTGGGATGGAAAGGGTTGTTTGAGGGTTATATAATAGCCAGGTAGGCTTGG